AACTAGACCCACCTTCACCAAGCGTATCTACGGCTTGGTCCGTCCCAAAGGTAAAAAAAAACAAAAATACTTATATTTCTTTGGATTGTTTAAGTTCAGCGATGATATCCATCGATGTAAGCATTCAGGAAGTCAAATTAGGCTAACGAACGTTTTCGATTAATTCACCATCAAGCAGTACAATAATATAAGGGAGGGTAGAGTTAGCGAAAGTTTAAGCAACCAATCAGTAATAAATAGGTAGAAAGGGTGGAAGAGGTGTAAAGGGATCAGACTGTAGTCTTAATTGGGGACCAGAGAGGTGAGAGGGTGGGGGAGGAGGGCAGGGAAAGGGGTCCGACAATTAGTTCATGTCGTCCCGTCGACCTTGACGACATGAACTAATTGTCGGGCCCCTTCTCCTCCTCTGACCTCCAATGAAGACTTTAATTTGACCCCCTTGATCCATTTACACCTTTCCCCCTAATGACTACTTACTGTTTGCTTAAACTCTCTTTAACTCTACCCTATCTTATATTATTGTATTGCCTGATGATCAATTAATCGAAAACGTTCGTTCGCCCAACTTGACTTCCTAAATACTTACATTTCCATTTATTTTTGCGCTGCAGCAGTTAGTCTTACTTCCCTTTCCTAAGTATACAGAAAGTGGAAGATTATGTGGCTAGGATTACACCCATGTCGGAGTCAGTTCCCTCACAACGTCGCTGGGATACTATTAAAAAGCACCTCATTCACGCACAACGTTTTCTATGTGCATCTCAGGTATTCAGAGGATCAAAGTAAACAAAGACAAGTCAGTTCAAGGGACTTAAAAAAATTACCTCTGATTCTGTGGTTAGCAAAGCCGAAAAGAAAAAAACAGAAAACACAGTTATGTCTACAAATGTTCAAAAGATAAACAGGGAATGATGGTCTTGTTGGATGAGCAGGATATTTTTCTCGCTGATATGTACGAATGTGTGCACAGTGATTTGGCTGTAGATGATGGCGATGATGATGAGGAGGAATGTTCTGTGTGTGTACGACGAGAGTACCCGTGGTGGCCCTTCGAATCAGCACTCTCCGAGGCGCAACGAGGGGGGGGCATCTTTTACAGTCTAGTGAGCATTTGGGGCTTACTGGCGGCACTGGGCGTCGGTGCAGGAGCAAGAAGGAAGAGGATATAACGAATTAGCCGCTCCTGACAGGTCAGCCAAGACGATGCGAGGGACAGAAAGGTGGCCTTGCGTGCCTACTGGTTGAAAACACCAGTCTGCCAGAGTATGATCAGCACAATTATGAGAACGAGAACGAACAGTGCGGAGAAGAGGATGATCTTTGTGCGACAATTGTCCCAGTAGTGTTTCTGCTTCACCTGACGGGCTGTCGTCTGGAACATTGAAGCCTAAAAGGGGGAAAACAAAACGCGCGTGTGGAGTGATACACATATGTTGTTTTTTCCCAAGTCGACGCTTAGGCAGGGCCAAGCCATCGCATCACAATTACACCAAAGGCAAGGTTCCCTTAGAAACACTGAAAAAGGTTGTCATTGGTAACGACAGCAGCGTACGTCAGACACGGAGCACCACACCAATAAACAACGACGTTTCTATTCGCTATCGCTTTACAGAAACCACGCCCAGCATGGACGACATTTTTGTGGGGCTAACGTAATTAAAAAACGATTGCAGAGAAACAGAGGTTGAACGCAGACGGAGGGCGTTTTTAAGAAAGCCGATTCGCTGCTCTGGTCGATAAAGGATGGAGAAGCAAGGCACTGCTACTAACATTCGGCAGACGTCTTTATTAAGGGACATGTTTCCACGACCTGCTTTCAATAAGCAGGTGAAGTCGACGAGTATAAAACGTTCCCCTATGCCAGAAGCTCAGCGAACTAACCCAAGGTTGAAACAAAACATGCGACGACATTGTAGAGAAGAAGGATTATTTCGGAAGAAACTTCTTGATGATGGTGTTGATGGCAGGCGCTAATGATGGTGACGATCGTGGTGGCGAGCTTGTTGTCTGTTTTGAGCCAATGACATGATCAGATGTAAAAAAAAGACTTAACATCTCATGAAAAATTAAGAAGCATTTTCGACTAGAAAAGACTGTTTAAAGGGCATTGTAATATTAATTGTCATACAGCACGTTGAGATGCTGGATTTTGAACGAGTTATTTTCTTGCCGCCAACGAAAACGACGTGCTGTGAACAACTGTTACCTAAATACTGTGAAATCGTTCCATTTATGTTCCATTTCCTTATATATTCAAACATATCCCACAGGAAATACGCATAAAAATAAACTTTCTTGTAATCGTTTACTAGTAAATTATCTCTTTTCCAAAGGTTATACTAGAATAATCGGTAGTTTATGCTTGTAACACATTCACACCCTTCCTTCTCCGTCTAAAGTAAAACATGTAAATGTATACGCTATTAAAATTTCATACTAGTGCTGCCAGTATGGTAAATACCTTTCTAAAATACGTACTTAAATAGATAAAAGCATCGAAAATCAATGGAATATATTCCGAGCATTTAAGTTGTCGTTTCAAAATTGTATGGTTGTTTTAAGTAGTTCTTTCAAAACTGAAATATCCTGGGACCATGCGGCGCGATATGATAATACTTTTGGAGTTTCAGTTAGAATTTCCCGAAAGCAGAACCTCTTATGGTGTAGGTGAATATTTCCAAAAAACAGAGATTCAGCTTGCGAATATTTACATCAAAGTAAGAGTTACAAGTATTTTATCTACAGGGCGAACCTCTCGATCGTACAGTAATTATAAATTCTCACTTTTTGTCATAAGTATGTGTTTGGTTGATGCTGTGAGTTTAAAAATATAAAATGACACCTTCGCCAAGATCGAGAGGAACGAAAATAAAGAAATATAGGTACACTGAAGATGGAAGGAAGTCTTAGATTCCTGCAAACACACAACGCTACGAATGTTATTTTGAAAATGTTAGATGCAGAAGCCGAAAACACTATACTGCGGTCTCTAAAAACGGTAAAAAGATAACAAGCAGAAGCATCACGCGATCAGTGACGTCAACGAGTGGCTAGCACGCGCTCTGAGAGCCTTATACAATTTAAAATTCACAGAAAATAGACGGGTGATGCCTTAATTGAAGCATAGACACAACTGCCTAGGACGTTTGCGTCATCCCAGATAAGACGGTTAATAAGGACCAACCATGCAGACATAAACATAAAGGTAAAAAAGACAATTACGTCTGATTCCATCGCCTCCGTTTTTGTGAAAAGATCGTCCAGTTTAGTGCCTCTTTCATTGAGATCGGCAATATTCTTTTGCATTAGCATACTGACGTCGGCAACTTGTCCCCGCAGTTCCATAACTTTTGATTTGTCCTGCTGACTAAAGTTTGCCTGAAACGTTCACACAAAGGCAAGTTCGAGTAAGGAATAGAAATGTCAATTTCTAGCGGGCAGATGGCAACATAATGTGATCGTGTGGAGCCGAAATAATTAATCATCAAAAAAAACAAACTTTCTGCGAAAATAGCAACATAAAGGGCTTTTGACACAGGAGAATTTTGTTTGCTAAATCAACTGCGTAAAGTATCACGGGAAAATAATACCACACAGTAAACAAAAACAGGTAAATATACAAATAAAACGTAACCCATAAAGCTTGTTTTAAAATACTCTACCAGCTTCAGCAATTCCCCTTCGGTAGGCCACTTAGAAGGTTTTTTACGCACTTCTTAAATCCCACACAAATACTAAAATCTAAAAAAATCAAGAGTACGACATTGGTCTCGGTTTCGATAAGAAAAGCAAGGTACTATGCTACAAACTGCATTTTAAACCTGTTCTTAAAAGCCGGCACAAGAATATTACCTTCGGAGCTGTTTGAATAGTTATTTTATTAATGGTGTCCCGAACATAAATTGAGTAATGTATTTGACATGTTTCAAATCTTACAATGAAACCGGCTATTCTTAAGCTTGATTCGGATATTTTGAGGAGGAACCATGCCGGAAAAGACACATCTTAGGAAGCCGGTTTATTCAGGCTTCGTTTGGGGTGAACATTAGAGGATGTTGGTATACAAATCATAAACTGTTGTAAAAGGATGCAAAAAGCGTAGATTTCGATTAGTTATAAAGCTTTTATTAGCACCTATTTCATCCAACACGAGCATTAACACATTTTCCCAACACAAAAGACGAAACGTCTAGCGTTACACTGCGTTAAATTTTAAAATAAAGAGAAGAGGCATGGCAACTATGGTGGCAATGATCCGTGGAATCGAAGATTGCTCTTTTATTTGACTGGGCTATGCGTTGGATTAAGACCGTTGATGAGATTTAAAATCAGGCAGCTGACTTCCGTCGAAAATCAAATTTGTGCTTCTACAGCTTTTAAAGATGCAGTTCTTATAGAGCGAAAAATTGGAAAAGTGATTCACTTAGAAAAAAGTGTTTGCTAGGGAAAATGAACAATGGAACACCCCAAGCTAGTATTTTGATTACGCGAACAGTTATTTTTCTATCAACTGCGACTTAGAATAAAATAAAAAAAAGTAATCCAGCCTTAATCCTATACTTGGATGCACTCAAAAGTATTTGCCAAATTACAGCTTGCATAAAGCAATGCATTATATGGGTAGGTAGAACGCCTTAAATTCGAGCATTTGTGAGAGAACAGCAGAGAGTTCGGGTTATATTTTCTATTAGAATACTCGCACAAAGTGAGGAACCAATTTCACGGAGTCTGAACAAAAAGACTACCGTTGTTCTCTTTGTGCAAGACGCAATCGCAATTATCTGCTAATGGTGTGCGAAATAGGCGACCAAAAGCGGATACCCATATCAATATTTAAAAAAATGTCTCACCATTTCGGACGACAGTACTCTTCCAAAGTCGATTTGGTGGCAATGTTCAGAGCCCGAATGCGCCTCTAATACCCGGGTGGGGTCGGCTGTAAACTTCGCCTCTAACTGTTCA